TCCCGGCCGAACTTTACCTCCGGGTAAGGACACATGTACCCACTGGATAAAAGGTTGGGTGGGCCCCAGAGCCGATCTGGATGCAGAGGCTAGGGGAAAAATTATCTGCCCCCGTCGGGGATAGAACCCCGGTCGTCCAGTCCGAAGTCAGTAACTTTTCTTGTATACCTGCTAAATACAAATGTTTCCTATTTCGAATTTCAGTCTACGCACATATTCAGAGACCAGAAACAGCTCTTGGATTGGGTATAAGCAACGTAAAACTTTTCCTTTAGTCACCATGATCAGAACGGCTTCTTCTTGCACGGGTAATAAACAGGGCCTTTCGTCCATCTAGAGTCGAAGACTAGAATCCATTCTCCTATACGATCAGCGTTCGGGAGGAACAATTTTAACTTTATCTATACTTACCCTGACAACCATGAGGACACGAAACTTAGTAAGCCAATAAACAAAGCTAAAGTAATAAACAAACTATAAACGCATACAACAACCACACACGAAGAAACACATATTTAGTGTCAATAGTTTGCACAGCTGATCAGCAGTTTGGTTGTAAAATTAACACCTGGTATCCTTAATTACGTATGTTGACTATATGAGAACCTTTACGGCATTAGGGATTGCCATACCTTAATACAAAAGCCAGTGATCAACGTACGTTTCGGTTATGAAGATTATCTCAGTTTACATTATGTACCTATAGTTGTAAATGTACATTAAGAACATAAATGTTACATGACCTGTGAGACATAACACAGCCCACATGTTGTACCGGTAACAGCTGGAACATGAGCCACAAACATGACTGTAACACATTAAGCAGCAAATTTTAAAATATTTTAATTCAGTGGTGGCGTTTTCAAGCGCATGAGAATGGTGAGCATGGTGAGAAGCTGAGAGTCGCTCAGATAGCCCACAAATCTACTGTTTTGCATGGAACTCGAAGGTTCATTTCCGTATTAGGAGGTGCCCACCAAAGCTCCAAATCGTAAAGACACGTCATTAAACATTGTCTCGTCCTTTCAGGCTTTCAAGCCGAATTTCTCGTATCACCCATGCGTGCTAAATGCCCTGCCCGTCTGATCCTCCTTAATTTAATCATCCGAATAATCTGCGAAACAACGTCAGTCATAGTTTTAGACGACGGAATGTGAAAACACGAGGAACACGTCAAGGAGCTCGACGGACGCGAGGAGACAAACCAGAATCGACCGCCATTCGGAGTTAACGTCTCTACCTTTGACGAGCCAGAAATTATGAGTTGAAACCAGGTGACTGAGCAAATATGCGGCCTGGGGAAGAGGAAATGTACCGTGTTGTAGCAAGGACGAAACAAAGAGGCTGGAAGTCTGAAGAATGAAATCGTCTAGGCCTACATTTTAACACTTTGATGTTCGACTATATTCCAGCAATGGCGAGACTAACAGAGCAGAAAGACGAATCCACCATGACGATTCTACAGAAACACACGTAATGGGGCTGTAAGAAAAATGTGCTAATAATAGACAAATACCCACTATAACCAGGGGTTAAGCAAGAGGGGCACTTTAGCAGTGGTATTCAACTTGGGGTACGCGAAGACATCTTCGGGTGTTACGTGAAATTAAAAAAAAAAAAATTTTATGATAAACACTGAATAATCAGTAATCTAATTTATTTAATTTATTTTAGATGTATATTATATACTATGTATAACTTGAATTATACACCAACAACTTTGGGGGTACAAAGTTGAAGAGAAATTATATCTGGGGGCACGCGAACAAAAAAGGTTGAACACCACTGCACTATAGGACACAACTCTAACTGAGAACAATTTCAAATTCTTACTCCATGGAGACGACAGTCACTCAGCTACTCAAGATATTCCCCACATTTTATGGAACCCGAACTAAGGTTCATTACCGCTTCTTTAAAAATGTGGCAAAGTTTAGATATTTGTGAGCGATAGTAACAAATCAAAATTTGATTCATGAGGAAATTAAATCCAGATTAAATTCAGGAAATGCTTACTACCATTCAGTTCAGATAACCTTTTGTCTTTTCAGCTGCTGTCTAAAAACGTAAAGATTAAAATATATAAAACCATAATACTGCCTGTAGTTGTGTATGGGTGTGTGTGTGAAAAGGGTGCTGAGAGGAATATTTGGTCATAAATTAAAATTCTACTGAAAATAAAATGCGAGAAGAGGTTCATAATGTACGAACTCCGTTTGGTCTAAAGTGACACTCACGCTTCATGGATGAATTCCACGTATCAAAAGTTTACAAGTCCTAAAATCGTACCTGAAACCGATCTTTACTGCACATTAATGTTTTTGATCTGTTATCCTACGTTCATTCGTCAATTCAGACACACAAATAGCTACAAGCCATTATTCTGACATGCCCACTAATTCGCTTTTGTTTACACGCAAGAAAGAATAATCGAAACACGTTTAATAGATAATCAGAGGGTAGATTAGAGGCCTACATTAATTTTAATCTCAAGTTTAACAGTGGCGTCAATTAATTCCTCGTGAAACGCCTATCAAAATGGCCCTGTTTCAGACGTAGGAGCTCATTAACCTGACAAGAATTTGCTTTCTTTTTCTTTCTTTCTTTCTTTCTCTTTTACTCTGGTTCCTGTAACTAATGTTCCGAGGTAATTTCTTACAATAGAATAAGTAATAATTACTTTTTCCTACCCCGATCAGCACTCTTTCGGCCTACTGTTACCACAAAGCAAAGACAAGTTTTTCAGAATGCTTTGTCTTGGGGGGTGAATTCAATCAAACGCGTTCTCTTTCTTGCAGTTCATTTATTTCTAGGTACGAGAATACATTTTAACTATACAGATTTACACGTAGTTAAATGTATTTTATTTGGATTAACACTTTCAGCCGACCTTCCTAAGGTTGGGTGTCCAATGTAGACCTTTTACCTACCGTTGTCTCAGCAAGAGCAATTTTAGATTTCACAGAATTGTACAAGGAATGCTCCAGCTAAAGGTGAGATCAGACCCACAGCTTCTGCCATAAGAAAGTTTCCGACAGGATTCCTCCGTGTGTCTACATTCAGGACGGCAAACATGTACCACCCCATTCGCACGCTTGCGTGGAGATACACCTAACGGCTCTGCAATTCTTATTTCGACACCAGAGGGACAGCACCGAAAACGCCGATAGAGGACACTAAGGTAAGCCCGGAGCGTGACAAACGACTAGGTTCTGTGGTAATGCTGTGTGTCACGCCACAGGCTGGCATACATGGGAACC